GTGCAATATCATTAAATAAAGAGATTAGGGTTTGCACTTACATGGATAAGATAACCAATGCTTCAGAGAGAGCTGAGAGAATATAACAAAAGCTTGAGAGAGAGCTGAGAGAATTAGGGTTAAAGGGACTGGGGTTGTACTTACATGGATATTGAGAGAGAGCTAAGAGAATCTACCCAACGATTTGAGAGAGAGCGAAAACTTTCAGACAAATTTATGTTGAAGAGAGAGAATGAACTATTTTAGGGTGAAAGGGAAATTTTGAAAATTTTAGATCGCGGTCAAAAATACATCGCCACTTAATAACCGACGTCGGTAAATACTTATATATGGACGTCTAATATGCACTTACGACGGCGGTTTCTACACCAGACCGACGTTGTAAACAGAACATACATCGCCACTTAATAACCGACGTCGTTAATATAATAAAATTAGTCTTGATTTACGTAGTTGACCAAAAACAGCGTTTTCTTAAAACCGGCGTCGTTTCAATAAACCCTAAACCCTAAATTTTACAATAATTTTTTTTAAAAAAAAAAAAACACAAGTATGATTCTGAAAATTTTAGATCGTGGTCAAAAATTTTAAAGTACCGCGTTTTTCAACGACGACGATAAATACTTATATATGGACGTGTAATATGAACTTACAACGTCGGTTTCCACACAAGACCAACGTTGTAAACATAACATACGTCGCCACTTAATAACCGACGTTGTAAACCATATACAATTAGTTTGGGTTTACGTAGTTGACCAAAAACAGCGGGAGAAAACCGGCGTCGTTTCAATAAACCCTATACCCTATACCCTAAACCCTAAATCTTACAATAATTTTAAAAATACACAAGTATGAGAAAAATGAACTGAAAATTGCTACGGACTCCTTACAACAATGCCTTCTATAATAGTAGGCTAAAATATGGATTTCATCATTTTGAATTTATGGGCACCAATGGATCACATAAACTTTAGGGTTATGTTATGTAAAGTATAAGGAGTACCGTGCTTTGTCTCTAAATTTGTTTGAATTTTGTTATCATTTGAACTTTGAAAACTAAAATTACATTTTTCAGGCCTTAACGGGCAAGATATTGTCTCAATGAGTGCATAGAATTTGTCGGTATATTTTTCGGATTTTGTTTTGAATATATTATTAATATTAGTAATTAAATACAATAAAAAATTATATGTAAAATTATATTTTTTAAAGCTTTAGGGGAGAGACAATATTTCAATGAGTGCTTGGTAGTTGTCAGTTTAATTTTTGGAATTAGTTTTGAATTTAATATGGAATTAAATAAAATATAAAAGTCATTTAAAATTAAATGCCAAATGACCTAGCCAACGTTGTATCCTTTTACAACGACGTTAAAGATCACAAACTGACGTCATATATTTTTTAGATGTTGAAACGAACAGAAAACGACGTCAATTGTTTGGATAACCGACGTGGGTTATTATTGTATTACCACGTCATGTTATTTTGGATCACCGACGTTGTTTATCTATACGACGTCAAATTTTTTATAATAACCGCCTTTGTATATTATTAAGACGTCGATGTGGTTGTACTAACAGACGTAGTATATTGGTACAAAATTCATCTGTACAAGATGAATTAATTATAAACCATCGTGTTTATGACTGTTACATGTCGTTTTTAAGAATTGTCGTCGATGTTATATTTTCAGTTATAGCAAGACGACCATTGTGTACACATATGAGACGTTTAAATTAGAATCAGACGTTGGTTTTTGGGAACTAAACAAATTTTAAAAAAAATTAATTTTTTTGATGGTTGTTCGATTGATTACAACAAAAATATTTATGTACATTTTAAATAAACTAAAATAAACCTAAACATTGTTCATAAATATTTATGTACATCAATTATCATGCTGTATTTGCCTGTTAACGAATTCTGCCCATTCATGCCTAACTTCGTCAATATGTTCTTGTGTATACTGAACTCGATCTTTTTTTTTTTCAAACTGAAAAA